TTTATCAAATATAAACTTGATAAAATATTTTCATGTATTAATTGATATAATGCAAATCAATAGCTAAAATCAATTTAGATCGATATATTTCAAAACTATTTGAATCTTTCCAAAATATTTGGAATAAAAAAATATAAATGATATTATTTTGATTAAGCAAATAATAATTTATTAAATAATAATAATAATAATAATAATAATAATTATAATAATAATAATAATAATAATAATAATAATAATAATTACAATGATAATAATAATAATAATAATATGTAATATAATAATAATAATAATAATAATAATAATAATAAATATAAAAATGAATATAAAAAAATATATATAGAAAAAAAAAAGATATAAAAAGCAAAAACGATATAAAAAACTATTAATAAAATCGAAAAAATTTATTCATCATCATGATGACCAGCATCATCAGAAGAAGGTTGTTGAGGTGGAACGTTTGAAGAGGTTGAGGGTTGAGGCAGAACTTTTGAAGAAGATAAGGGAGATGTTAGATTATTTTGAATTGTTGCGAACGGTTGCGATATTGGTGGAATTGTATCAGAAACATTCGAATTATGAGGGGAGTCATGAGCTATATCTTTGAGAGGGCAACTTTAGGTCGTTTGCCCTTTTTATTCAAGACAGAAGTATGAACTGCTCTTTTTTGTTTTCGACCCAGGCTGCTTGACGGTATGACCTCGGGTGCTTCATCTTTGGTTAGTGATAATTCATTGTCAATAGCCAGGGGTGAAAGCCATCACCATTAATAAGTTTATCCTTATTAAATTAAATACATATATTAAATTATTTTTAGCTTATTTAAATTAAATAAATTATAATTAATTAAAGAATACTTACGATATTTTTATTTAGCCTATTTTTCATAATATCATTACTTATATTGAGCTTTTCATAATGGTCATGGAGCAAAATCTGGCATACAGTTATAGCAAATGCTAGTTGATAGTTGGTAGGCGTGGCAGCTGGAAAAGATCTCACTAAGATTCAATCGAAAAATGTTTCTTCAGAATTATCAGGATCGATAGGTTGGAAAAGCTTATTAAAACAGCTTTTCATTCTAGCGGATCTTTTCTACTCCATTATAGATTGAGGCGAGGCTTTCAAATTTATGTGATCTAGCTGTGACTCCCCAAATATGGCGAAAACGGATTTCTTAATAGAGAAGGAAATACGACTTCGGTACGAACGATGCTTATCAAGAAGCTAAAATATATATTGAAATAATTTACATTAAATCAAAATAATTCAAATTAGTTCGATATAGTTAAAAATATAATAAAATAATAATTATCTAATTATACAAAATTAAGTAATATAAATATAAAAATATTAAAAAATGCAAAACAAAGAAAGAAAAAATGATAAATAAAAAATTAATAGTTAATATAAAATATATATGTTTGGGTAAATCAAATATAATCGAAATAATTTTAAATAAATTAGAATAATTCGATAAGATACGAAATTATGAAATATAAGAGTATAATAAATATAAAATAATTTAAACAAAGCAAGAAAAAACAATAAATAAATATTAATAATTAATATAAAATATACAGGTTTGGGATAAATCGAATTAAATCGAAATAATTTAAAAAGTTTTACATATACAAAATTATAACTAATAATCTATTTCAAATAAATTTGAATAAATTTAATAAAAATCGAATTAGTTCGATTTTAATAACATTTACAGGTAATGTGAGTTTATTCTTATAATAGATATTCCACTGCTTATTATTCATATTTTCATAAAACTCGGATTCGCTTTCTACCATGTATTCTTCAGCAGCTTTTTTTAACTCCACTTTAGATAGATAAATGTTATGTAAAATTAATTCTTTTGCAATATTGGCACAGGATTGCTATTAAAATAAATAAAATAATATTAAT